CCAGCTCCCACCCCTGTCGCCACAGTGCCGGACCCCCGGACCCCCTCCTGCGGGCTCCGATCCCAGATGGCTGGGGGCCGAAGGAGCTGCCCCAGAGCCGGAGTGGAGCCCGAGCTGTGCCAGGCCATGGTAGGGGCCGCCAGGCTGGGCCTCATCCCGGCAGCCTCTGTGTCCCCATGCAGACTCTCCCAGGTTTCTCCCGTCCGGTCTCACTCTGCTCTGTCCTCCTCCTACCCACCCGTCTCACCCCTCGGCCTCACGGGGCCCAGTCTGTCCTGTGTCCTCTGCAGGCAGGAGCTGGAAGAGCCCGGCCTCCTCCGGCTGTGTCAGGGTTGGGAGGAGCAGGCCGAGGAGCATCTCACGCCGAAGCAAGAGGAAGGTGGGAGCCTTTGGCACACGCCCGACCCTCACACCACTGCCACGGTGGCCCTGGGGTCGCCTGCACTTGGCCCAGGGCACAGAGCAAGGTGGGAAGTGGACCCAAGCCCACAAGAAATTCACCTCACTAGTCACGGGATCCAGTGCTCTGCCAGCTCCAGAGTGGCCTCTACAGAGGGACGAAGGCCCTGCCTCCCAGCCCCAAGCTGCTCTGTGTCCTCTTGAGAGCCGGCATCCAGGTCCCCAATGCTGAACAGCACCTCCCCATCGAGCAGGGCCCCCATGTCCCAAATGTAAAGGTCTGAACCCCTGCCCTGGGGAAGGTGCTGGGCCCTCGGTTCCTTGTCATCTGGGGCTGCACCCCATTCCGCCCCCCATCACCTTGGCCACTGGTGGGATGTGTGCCCACCCTGCTCCTCCTCAGAGTCTGGGCCCCTCATGGCAGGAAGGAGGCACCCTTTCCTCGCCTCCCTGGCTGTGTCGCTGGCTCCTGTGACCTCACCTTGCAGCTCACAGCTCACTCCAGCCCCCGGGGCAGGGGCTGCTCTAAGTGCACTCCCACGTACACTTTGAGTCGGTCCAGACAAAAGGCCACTTCGATAGGAAGACTCAGGGTTGCCAAGACTGTCTGTCCCTGTCTGGTGAGCAGAGAGCTCACTGCCCTGCCTCCTGAGTGATTTTTTTTGGGGGGGGTTGTGACAGGGTCTCGCTAGGTACTCAAGCTGGTCTTGAATTTACTCTGTAGCCCAGGCTGGCCTGAACTTGCAGGAACCCTCCTGTCTCAGCCTCTAGAGTGCTGGGACTACAGGTATAGGTCACCACACCTGGCCCCCTGGGCATTTTGACCTTTGGGGCTTGGGTTTTGCTTTTTTTATTTTATTTTATTTTATTTTTTGAGACAGGGTCTCACTATGTAGTCAAGACTGACCTGGAACTCCCTGTGTAGCCCAGACAAGGGTTTTTTGCTTTTGAAGTGGGGATTGTGACCCAGGATTCTACCCCCGACTACAGCCCAGTCCTCCAGGCATTTGGGACAGTCACAGCTGCTTCTGACATCCCTTGGGTTCTCCCTTTAGGTGCTGCCTGCTCGTGGTAGGTCAGCGCTACGCCAAACCCAGGCCTAGCCGCCCACTTCCACACTTCGAGCTCTTTGTCACTGACTGGGAGAAGTCAGAGTCTGGTATAAGCTGGGTGCTGACCTAATGCAGGGCTGCAGGAGGCCTTAACACTGTGGACTACAGGAGGGAAATCGAGGCTCGGGAATGCTGTGCCTTGACCCCTGGGACCCACACAGGCCAGCTCAAGCCGCTCTGACACAGTGTCACTGACTGGCTGGCTGGAGTCCAAGGCTGAGGTGCTGGCTGGGTTGGTGTTGGGTTCCCTCCCTGGCTTGTGAGCAGCTGTGTCCCCTCAAGGCCTCATCCGTGGGTCCTAAATTCCTTTTCCTATACAAGGACACCAGTCAGACTGGCGTAGGGCCCACCTTCATGCCTTATTTTATCTTAATCACCTCTTTAAAGACCCCTCTCCGCTGTGCATGGTGGTTCACATCTATAATCCCAGCACTTGGTTGGCTGAGGCCGGAAGACAGAGGGTTCAAAGTCAACCTGGGCAATTTAGCCAACTCTGTCTCAACAAAGCGAAACAAAAGGCTTTCTTTCCAAATAATCACTGGGAGGTAGGGGTTCCATGTATGAATTTTTTAGGGTCAGACTTCAGCCCACAATAGTAACCCAGGTTATTATATGGCCCAGCCATTCACAGGGCTGTGCTGCTGGTCTGGATTTTGCTAAGGGCAGGAAAAACCCACACTGTGAATGGAGCAACCCCAGGAGAAACGCTTTGGCCTGTTGGTGCTGCTCTGGAACTTTTCGGCACCTTGCTGTGCTCTGCTCTCGTCCAGACCACCAAAGCCCTGCTAGGAGCCGGGTCTGTGCAGAGCGATATCTGCAGACACCAAGGCCAAGTCTCTGCCTCGATTTCCCCATTGTTTCAGATGGCACAAGCATCCTACTCCTCCCAGAATGATGTGAGAACTGGTACAAGAGCTCAGCCAGCACGGAGTATGTGCCCTAAAGTGGGGGTGCTCCCGTCACCACATGGGCCCCTAATGAGCTCAATTCCAGTCACACCAGGTGGACCTCTGGCCTGGCCTCGGGGTACAGAACACAGTGAATCCAGGGAGCCACGAAGCCCTCACTTTTGCTCTTTTAATTAGCCCCGGCCCCCACCCAGCCATGGTGGTAGAGGTCGTTGGAAGGGTGGGTTAAGGGGAGACGTAAGAGGTGCCCCTCCCGCTCCACAGCCTTCCGCAGCTACTGTGAGATCTTCAATGGCCCTGGCGAGGTGGACGCTCGGAGCCTGAAGAACATCCTGGTCCTCGTGGGCTTCTCCCTGACGCCGGGCCAGGTAGAGGAAGCCCTGAGGAGCGCTGATGTGGATGGTGAGCAGCGGGGCTTGGCTCTGAGCCCCAGGCTGGGGCGGCCGCTGTGTCACATGCGGCTCCGTGCTTGGTTTCATGCTCTGCTGTCATAGTCTAGAAATTCTTATAATTTTGGAACAAGTTGCCCCGTGCTGCATTTTCATTGTGTACCACTGTCTTAGCCGATTTTTCCTTGCTGTTTCTTGTTGATGTTGTTGTTTTTTGGTACCGGGGATCGAACTCTGGTCATTGCGCTTGCGAGGCAGGCGGCGGAACCCCTGAGCTAAATCCCCGGCCCTCTCCTTGCCGGGATACTAACCTGACCCCCACAGCATGAAGAAGGAGAGGTTTGTTTGGGCTCGTGGTTTCAGTTGAGAGCTGGCTGGGTCCAAAAGGAGGGGAGCTGTAGGCGGGCAGCTGGAGGGAGGGGCCGGGGAAGACACGCCCTTCAGCCACGTCCCTAGTGACCCACGCGTGACCAGGCCCCACCTCCCAGCAGCACTTTCGGCTCTGAACTCTTCCCGATGAGCACGGCGCCCCCACGACCCAGTCACCTAACGCGCACAGGAGCATTGGGGGGGACCGGGGATCGAACTCGGGACCTTGCACTTGCAGGGCAGGCGGTGGAACCACTGAGCTCAATCCTCATCCCAACACTTCAGATCTAAGCCATGACACCTGGATCCCACATATGATGGAGCAGGTCCGGGTTCTGGGAGTTCGTGCTGTTCCAGTGTCTGGGTGCTCAGAGATCACTGAGCCTCCTGACTCCAAGCTGTAGCGATCTCAGGGTCCCTTCCTTGCAGGCTCTGGTTCCTGCTTCACCTGAGGTTCCTCTGTGACTCCATCTCTCGCTTTGTCAGCTGCGTGGCCTCGGACGAGCCACGGAGGTTCGGCGTAGCCCGGCCTCTCCATCTGCAGAATGGGGCCGATAACAGGGAAACGAGGTGATTCAGGCAAAGCACTGAGCATACTGTTTGGTGCGCGGAACACTCGAAGGACGCGTTAGTGGTTAACACTCACCCAGGAGCCCTCACCAGGTGCCAACGGTGCGCCCGCTGTAGAGAAGGGACCGGGACCCGCGGCCCTGCAGGGGCCACAGGCACCGCCTTTGGACAAGGGCTGACCGAAGTTAAGAGGCACCAATAACGGCAGCATTTAAAGTGGGTTAAAGAAGGAATCGGGAGGGACGGACAGCTTCCTGGAGGTGACGCCGAGGCCAAGTTGCAAAAGATTAAGCAGAACTGAGGCAGGGAGAGAGGGGCAAAGCCATCAGGAAGGAGGGGTGCAGCACAGAGCAGTCGTCGTGCTGTGGCGTGGCTGGACGCAGCGTGCAGCGCAGGGCGTCACGACTCCCCTCCGTGGCTGCACAGACAGGAACCCTCAAAACCATCAAGGATGCCCCGGCCACAGGAGCAGCCTGCTTTTCTCTGGCCTCAGCCTCTGTGACCTGAGGACAAGAGGGCGAGGCGCCCCACGAGTGCTTTCAGAGACCACACAAGTATTTGTTGAGTAGTTCAGAGGACACTGACTAAGCACTTACCGGTCCCCAGCCCCAGGGACACAGCATAGAACAAAACAGGCAGTCCTGGCCTCGAAAAATTTCCATCGAATTCCAAAACATATGGTTGGGCTGGGTGTGGTGGCACACATCTGTAATCCCAGAATTTGGAGGCTGAGGCGGGAGGATCAGCCCGAGTTCAAGACCAGTCTGAACTACATGGTGAGACCTTGTCTCCAAAAAAAACAAAACAAACACAGACCTGGGGATTTAGCTCAGTGGTGCTGCTGCCTGCCTTGCAAGCACAAGGTCCTGAGTTCCGTTCCCAGTACCACCTCAAAGCGGGGCGGGGGAGGAAAACAGTGTGTTGTTGGAATACAGTTTTTTGAAAGGCTTCCTGGGAAATCTGACCTGGTCTGGACTGAGTCTCTGAAGACGCAATGGTTATGGGGGAGCACAAAAGTTGAAGTGGGAGTGGAGTAAGTTGTAGGAAAAGGAAGCAGCATGTGCAAAGGTCCTGGGCAGGAGAATCTGCGGAGGTACCAGGAGAATCCTGCAGAGCCTTGAAAGCCAAGTTGGGAACACTGGGGGGATGTGTTCCTGGGCAGCAGCCATAACAGGTGCTGGTATTGGACCAGTTCTAAGCATTTCCGCTCATTTTACCTCCCATGATACAGGTGTTCGGATTGTCCTCATCTATAGGTGAGAGAGCTGAGCTCACTGGGGTTGAGAGGGCCATGGAGAGAAGTGGTAGGGCTGGGACATGAACCCACACTGCCACCTCCAGGACACAATTTCCAGCAGTTTATAACCTGGGAGATTTTAGCTTCCATCTTCTGGTTTCCTACATCCACTGCATTTTCTGCATTGAATAGGCATCGCTTTTGTAGTTAAACCCAGTGAGAGAGCTGGTGACTGTGGTGGGGTCCATGAGCCCCCTACCTACCCAGTTCCTCCTCTGGCCTCTGCAGGAGACGGGCACGTGGACTTCAAATACTTCCTGGCTGTGATGACAGATACCAGGAGCTTCTTCTGCTCCATGGGTGAGCCGGGGCCAGCCTGGGGCGGCAGAGCCAGAGGAGGGGCCGGAGCACTGACGGGGTGGCATCTGGGGCCACCCCATGGTAATGGCAGCCACTACCCCATGTCCCCAGAACAGAATGCCACGATGGACATGGCTCCCCCGAATCCCCACACTCTGCTCTTTGAGATCCTGTCCCTGCTGGTGGAGATGCTGGCCTTACCCGAGACTGTCTTAGAGGAGCTCACCGAGTGAGTAGGGCTGGTGTGTTTGGGGTAGAGGGTTGGTAATGCAAAGGTGACATCTAGAACTTTGGCAGATGGAGAATTTTGAAAGTTAGGATCTTTTGTTTTGTTTTGTTTGAGACAGGGTCTCACTGTGTAGTTGAGACTGCTCTGGAACTCACTGTGTAGCCCAGGCTGGTTTTGAACTCCCAGTGATCCTCCTGTCTCAGCCTCCTGTCTCAACCTCCCGAGTGCTGGGATTACAGGCGTGCGCCACCACGCCCAACTGAGAGTCAGGATCTTGTTACAAGTGAAAGAAACCCAGATAAAACTGGTTTAAATACTGTATATGAGAGGCTGATGCAGGAGGATCTCGAGTTTGAGGCCCGCCTGGAGTACACAATGAGTTCAAGGCCGGCCAGAACTACATAGCGTTTCAAAAAACAATAACAACAAAACCTGGTTTAAACAAAAGGGGAATGTGCTGGCTCCAATAAGTTGTCAGAGCTTCGGGAAAGGGGTGGTCCAGGAAACCAGATGACACCAATAAGGCTTTACCTCTGTGTCTGTCCATCTCGCTGCAAACCCAGTGAAACTCTCTCAAGTGGGGAGGGTGGGAACAGCGAGCCCCAGACACCTTTCAGTGCGGCCACTTCAGCAGGAGGAGGACTTCTTTCCTGGGTTGCCCACACAGAGATCGCCGAAGAGGCCGGTGATGGACCCTGCCTGCGGCCACAGGACCGAGCGTCTGCCCATGTCCAGGAAGGTGAGGGTGGGTAGGGGCATCTGCGGGATGAGACGCAGGGGCTCCTGGGGCTGCAGGGCTGGGGAAGGTGTCGCATCGCGGCGCGGATACCCACAGTGGTCTCAGCCTCGTGCCTCAGAGCCCCGTGTCCCCACTTCTGGTCTTACACACAAACATTTTAATGCTGGCTGCTCAGAAATGCTAGCTTTCAACTGTGCTGGTTGTGAGGGTCAGATGAGTTCAGAACTCAAAAAGCACGTTGTCGATGGCTCTGCACAAACTTTTTGCAGGTGGATTAGAGGAAAGCTGGGTTCGGAGGGAGGAAGGAAGGTTTTAGCGCTTCGGTTTGGCCTGACCTTGTTCTGTGGCCTTGGGCAAGTCATGTTCTCCTTGGACTTCAGTTCCTTCATCTGTAAGACGGAGACGTTTCCTTGAGCCTTCACTGCAAGTGAGGACGGCCTAGGCGGCAGGAGAGCCAGGAGTGTGAGTGCAGAGGGCAGAAAACAGAGGCTGCTCTGAGACAGGCAGGCGGTGAGCACGCACTGTTTCTTCTGCTCCCTTTTGTTCTGTTCAGGCCTCCGGCAGATCGAGTGAGGCTCCCACCCTGGGCGGCCATCTGCCCTGCTCCAGCCGCTGCACAAATGTTGCCCGCATCCAGAAACACCGCACACACATCCCTGAATAATGGGGAACCAAGTATCCGAGCACCCCGAGGCCGAGTCAGTCGGAATGACGGCCTCAACACTCCCCACACCCCAGCCACCCGAGTCCCTGTCAGGACACATCAAGAACCCTGCTCCCCTCGCTGACCCTCTAGAGCCAGTCTTCTGATGTTGGGGCCAGGCGTGCAGCTCGGTGGCGCTGCTCCTGCCTGGCAAGCGCAAGGTCCTGAGTTCAATCCCCAGTACAAAAAAAAAAAAAAAAGTCTTGTAATGTCTTTTCCATCACAGACTGATTTTGCTTCTTTTACAACTTTAAACGGAAACACAGTGGATCTAGCTTCTCAACACAATGTCTTTTGTTGTTGTTTTTGGTACCGGAGATCAAACTCAGGACCTTGCACTTGCCGGGCAGGGAAGGTGCCACTGAGGTACATAATATGGTATTTTTGAGATTCATCCTTCTATTTCTGAGTAGGATTCCACAGTATGAATGTACCACGGTTTGTTCCTTTGTTCTTTTATTAACAGACTTCTGAGCCCTCTCTTTGGGGTTATAATGAAAAAGGCTGCTAATAACATTTTTGTACAAGTCTTTTTGTGGATATATATTTTTGTTTCTCCTAGATAAACACCTAGTATAATCACTGGGCCGTAGGTTGTGTCTTCTTTATAAGTAATTGCCAGGCCGGGAATTCAGCTCAGTGGCACCGTGCCTGCCTTGCAAGCGCAAGGTCCTGAGTTCAATCCCTGATACCAGATGAGATCAGGTATGTTTAGGGTAGTATGGCCATAGATGATCCCCAGTACCAAAAAAAAGAAAAAGAAAGAAAGAAATTGCCAGCCACTTGGGGGTGGTGGTGCAGGCCTGTAATCCTAGCACTCAAGAAAACTGAGGCAGGAGGATGCAAGTTTGAGCTCAGCCTGGGAAACTTAATGACTTGGTGAGACTGTCTCAAAACAAAAAAATCCAAAATAAAAAGGACCAGGACCGCAGATGTAGCTCAATGCAAAAGGCCCTGGGTTCAAGCCTGCCAAGTGCTGGGATTACAAGCGTGTGCCACCACGCCTGGTTTAATTATTACTTTTTTGAATTTTGAGGCAAGATCCAGACTGTGATCCTCTTGCCTCAGCCTCCTGAGAAGATGGAATTACAGGAGGACCCAACTGTGGAAAAGGAAGGATCTTAATAGTGTTTTCATTTAATACCCACATATGTGGATTATTTTCTTTGCTACTACACCAAACTTGACAGGTGGTGATGTCCAAGGCTGACTGTAATGTGCAATCTGAAACGGTTTCAAGGAACTTCTCTTAGTCTTTTAAATCAGTCTATTGGTCTGGCTTGCAGTTTAAATGATTTTTTTCCCACGAGTGCTTGTTATCTTCAAAGCATTGACACAATTCATTATAATTATTATATATCACATATATTAGCAGTATTAATTTTTAGGGCCAGTGATTTAGCTCAGTGGTGCAGCAGCCTGCCTCCCAAGCACAAGGTCCCAAGATCGACCCCCAGTACCAAAAAAAAAAAAAACGTATTAATTTTACCACTAACCTCATCAGAAGAATCAATATTACCAATATTGTATGTAAGGGCTGGGGATTTAGCTCAGTGGTGCTGCTGCCTGTCTCACAAGCACAAGGGCCTGAGTTTGATCCCCGGTACAAAAAACAAAACTATATATATATATAATGTAGATTTAGTTCATTCATTTTTACTGCCATAAACTACTTTGTGTATTAATATGTATATGCTTATGATAGGGATGTGTTTTCCAAAATTCTAATTTTTACTCAAAAGCTCAAAAATTTTTATAGGCTGTAACAAGTGCTATCAGTTGTTTCACTCAAGATAACTTCATTTTTGTGAAAATATCTGCCAAATACTCAAGGATGAATAACTTGTTTGTTTTGGTGCCAGCCAACAAATCCAGGGCCTGACACGTACTAAACGCAGTTGCCCACTGAGCTATAACCCAAACCCAATGTCTGCTCTTTTTCAAATAAAGATTTTTTTTTTTAATGAAAAAAGTGGCATGGCTGCTTGTGGTGGCACATGCGTATAATCCTAACACTCAGGGAGGCTGAGGCAGGAGAATCACAAATTTGAACCTAATCTGGGAAATGCAGTGATTTAGTAAGTCCTGATCTCAAAATAAAAAATAAAAAAGGGAACTGGGCATGGTGGCCCACGCCTAATATCCCAGCACTCAGGAGGCTGAGGCAGGAGGATCGCTGTGAGTTCAAGACCAGCCTGGGCTACATAGTGAGTTCCAGGTCTGTCTCAACTATATAGTGAGACCTTGTCTCAAAAAACCAAAAATAAATAAAAAAATAAAATAAAATAAAGGGGGATGGGGATGTAGGTCAGTGTGAAGGCCCTAAATTCAATCCCAGTTTCTCTCTCTCTCTCTCTCTCTCTCTCTCACACACACACACACACATACACACACACACACGTAGCTAGTTTAGCCCCAAACCCAACTGCATAAGTGCTTTTCTCGACAGAAAGGCTTTTTTTTTTTTTTAAATCTATTTTCTGGTACTGGGGATTGAACTCAGGACCTTGTGCTGCTTGCCAGGCAGGCATGGGACCACTGAGCTAAATCCTGGGCCCTCAGAAAAGCTTTAAAGACTATTGAATATAAAAGAGACATGCACCCAAGGGTTAAAAATTAATGGTTCACAGAAGACATTTCTGTACTGTGTGCGCAAGTGAGTTTGCACCAAAGAATGGGGTGACTTGAGTACAGATTGTGGTGCTTCTTTTTTTTTTTTAACATTCAATGATTTCTTTAATGTAATTTTAATACTCATTGTAAGCTAAAGACAATAATAATTTAATGCAATAAGCTAAGTAGCTAAGTACACACAAAAGCTGTATTTCCTGAACTACACAAAGGAGTTTCTATGGCCACATATAGTTTCAATCAAGTATACGTTTCTATAATGAGCAATTACTTACAAATATGTTAATATAACACTATTCCAAATGCTTATTTTACCATTATTCTTTTAGGCATTGATCACCATTGCTACTATGAAAAGCATTTAAATTTAGAATCTTTGATCTGGGAAAATTAGTTCTCCTAAAACTTAGCAAATACCTGTAGTATGTTAGAAGCCAAAAGGCTTTTAAATCAACAAAAGCTTTAACACAGGAGCACTGACATGAAATTTATTTTGTCAAAAACAAACACACAAAAAAATTATCTTTAGAAAAGATAGTAAAACAAATTTTCTTACAAAAACTTGTAATTTCCTACACCCTCTCCTTACACACAAAGATGATGACTGCTGTCTAAAAACTTCAGAACACATGAAGCACATGCCTTAGCTGTCAGTCAAAAAGGCCACTGAGATTTTACCTATTAAACAGCTAGCATACAGCTTATAATGGCATGAATATATCTACTATATAATACAAGTTTATTCTTCAGACAGTCCAAAGTCAGAAGGAACTGTATGGTTTGCAGTCATAACTTATATGTAGTCATTAATACATAGCATATGTAGTCATTAAAATCTAGTAAGTAATTCAAGTATGGTCATATAAAGGCAGGCAATTAAGGGCTGGAACCAAATGCTCTAAAAACAAAGACATGAAAATAAAGGCTGAAAACGTGTGTTTCTTCCTCTCATGTACGTGCCTAAGCATCAGGACGATACTGCAGAAAATAAACATATACGGTTTCCATACAAAATAATGACATTTCAGAAAGCACACAAGGTGTCAAGACTCATAGTTGGCTTCATCAAATGCTTCTCTAGCTCGTCTCGATTCTTTATTCATAGTCAGCAAGTCTTTAGCAAATTCCCTCGGGTCCTTTCGATTCAAGACGATATCTTCGACGTGTACTCGACCTTGTCTTCCAGTGGACATTGCCTTGTGAGTCATTTCAGGGATGAACTCTATGACAACGTCTTCAAGAATATCCCCCGACTCGGTGTAAGGATTCTGGTCATCTCCAAACCCATACATCATACATCGCAATTCTTCAGAAAAGTCTCTTTTACCCTGTCCACCTTCGGCACCTCCAATTTCTTCATTTTCCTCCTCAAATGTAGGATCCTCTTCCTCATCTGCCATCTCACCAGCCAGCAAAGGCCCAGACAGAGCCTGACCAACTTGCAGCTAGCTGACTTTTCTACTACTTCTGCTGTGGTGCTTCTTTGAAGTGAACCAAGGCTCGACCATCGCTTCTGTGGCCTCGGTGCAAATGTCAACCTGAGAGAGATTTCCATTTGACGAGCTTTTAGGACATTCTCCACATCTGTCTAGTTCTTTGAGCACTGGTAGGACAGCTTTTTTAAGCCTTTTGCAGGTCTGTCTGTCATTGGGTCTTTCTCAGGACCAGCTCTGTTTCTATCCCCCCGTGTTTTGTTTTGCTTTTTGAGACAGGGTCTGACTCTGCAGTTCAGGCTGGCCTCGAAGTCATGGCAATCCTCCTGCCTCAGCCTCTTGGTTGCTGGGATTACAGGCGTGCGTGCGCCACCATGCCCAGCTATTTCCCTTGAATTGGCCGTTCTTCATTTCGCTGGATGCCTTGTGGTTTTCAGTTATGTCCTGACAGTCTGGCTGGTCATCGTTTATCTGGGTAGACTTGGAGGCTCGCTTCGTTAGAACATATTTGTGAAAAGTCCTCTGATGGACGGCTCAATTCCAAATTCTCTCTCCTGTGGATGTTTGTGTTCAGCCTTCTTAGAGGAGGTCGATAGCAGATTTTATGCTAGGGCAGAGGTCAGCCTGCCTCATTTTCATAAAGTTTTATCAGAACACAGCCACACCCATTTGTATCCATGTCATCTATGGATTCTTTTATACCATGGTGGTGGAGCTGAGGAATTGTGACAGAAACTGTATAGCCTGCAAACCCAAAAATATCTCCTCTCTCTCCCTTTAGCAGTCTGCTCAGCCCTCATCTGGAGCATGGTCCTTCTAATCATGTGACTCTGTTTTAGATTTTGGATCTTTAAAATATCTGCATATAATGAGATACTTTGGGGACGGGGGCTGGGAACCCAAGGATAAACATGTTTTCACGTGTGCTTCATGTGTACCTTATACACTTAGCTTTAAGGAAATTTTGTTTTTTTTTTTTTGATACCAAGGATCAAACTCAGGTCCTTTGCATTTGCAAGGCAGGCAGTGAAACCATTAAGCTATATCCCTGGCCTGCCTTAAGGAATTTTTTTTTTTTGAGACAGGGTCTCACTACGTAGTTGAGACTCCCTGGAACTCACTGTGTGGCCCAGGCTGGTCTCGAACTCACATCGATCCTCCTGCCTGCCCAGTGCTGGGATTACAGGCGTGTCCCACCACGCCCGGCCTTAAGGAAATTTTATGCAGTATTTTTATGTGCCTGCATTGGTCAGGTGTGGAATTTTCCATTTGTGGTGTCAAACTGGCACTCAGGGGCCAGGGATTCAGCTCAGTGATTCCACCACCTGCTTCACAAGTGCAAGGTTCCGAGTTTGATCCCTGGTACAAAACACACCAAAACACAAAAAAACTGGCACTCAAAAGTTTCAGATTCTGGAGCATTTGAATATTTAGATGAGGGCTGCTAGGGCCGAGGATTTAGCACAGTGGCACCATGCCTGCCTCACAAGCACAAGGTCCTGAGTTTGATCCCTGGTACTGGAAAAAAAAGTGAGGAATGCTCAACTTGTACTATAATTTCATTTCCTTTCCGTTTTCTTCCTCTAAAAAATTCCAAAAGTTGACAACTGCCTTGATGTTTTTTTTTGTATCTGCTGTTAATTGTTCCTTCCTGCTTTT